GATAGGGATAACAACAGTCCTCAGGTGAAAGTGTTAAATTGGGTGAAGTCAAACAACAGTATTAGGCAGGGATAGTAGGAACTGCAGATGCTGGAGAATCCGAGACAACAAGGTGCAGGGCTGGATGAACACAGCAGGCCAAGCAGCATCATAGGAGCAGAATGTTGATTGGCAGTGGCTGTTTGAGGGTAAATCTACATTGGGCGTGTGGGAGTATGTCAAATGGCAGTTGATAAGAGTTCAGGAGTGGCACGTTCCTGCGAGAATGAAGGATAGGTATGGCAAGTTACTTGAATGTTGCACGACCAGGGATGTTATGATCTTGGTTAAAAAGAAAAAGGAAGCATTCGTAAGATCTCGGAGGATAAGAACTGACGAAGCCCTTGAAGTATGTAAGGATATTAGGAAAGAACTTAAACAAGGAATTAGAAAGGCTAAAAGGGATCATGAAAGGTCATCAGCAAACAGGATTAAGGAGAAACCCAAGGCTTTTTGTACATATATAGAAGTGACAGATTTTTTTTAATGCACCATGTCACCAAACACTCTATCTGCTTGCTGTATTTTCACTCATCATTGTTAGATATCCATCCCACTGCAGTGGTGTCATCAGCAAACCTGTAGATGGCGATGGTTTGAAATTTGGCAACAGTGTCATAAGTATAAAGGGAGTATAGTAGGGATCTATCCCTGAATACTGAGAGAGGAAGAGAACAAATTGTTGGAGCATTGACAGACATCTTCATATCCTCCTGGCCACAGGTCAGGTCCCAGAGGACTGGAGAATAGCCAATGTTGCTCCATTGTTTAAGAAAGGTAGCAGGGAATTACCAGCCTGTAAGCCTCACATCTATGGTAGGGAAATTATTGGAAAAGATGCTGAGGGATAAGATCTATAAGCATTTAGAAGCAAATGGACTGATTAGCTATAGACAGCATGGTTTTGTGTGGGGGAGATTGTGCCTCACTAACTTGATCGAGTTTTTTGAGGAAGTGACGAAGATGATTGATGAAGGAAAAGTGGTTGATGTTGTCTACATGGACTTCAGTAAAGCATTTGGCAAGGTCCCTCATGGCAGACAGGTACAAAAGATGATGTCACATGGTATCAGGGGTGAGCTGGCAAGATGGACACAGAACTGGCTTAATCATAGGAGACAGAGCAGTGGAAGGATACTTTTCGGAATGGAGGGTTGTGACTAGTGATGTTCCACAGGGATCAGTGCTGGGACATCTGCTGTCTGCGGTCTCAATAAATGACTTGAAGGAAAACCTGTCTGGTCTAATAAATAAGTTTGCGGATAAAACAAAGATTGGTGGAGTTGTGGATAGTGAGAATGATTGTCAGAGGATATAGCAGGATATAGATCAGTTGGAGGCATGGGTAGAAAAATGGCAGATGGAGTTTAATCCAGACAAATGTGTGGTGATGCATTTTGGAAGGTCAAGTACAGGTGGAAATTATACAGTGAATGGCAGAACTGTTGGAGTATTGATATGCAGAGGGATCTGGGTGTGCAGGTCCACAGATCACTGAAGGTGGCAACGCAGGTAGAGAAGGTAGTAAAAAAGGCCTATGGCATGCTTGACATCATTGGAAGGGCCATTGAGTTAAAGGATGGATAAGTTACGCTGCAGCTTTATAGAACTTTAGTTAGGCCACACTTAGAATATTGCATACAGTTCCAGTCACCACATTACCAGAAGGATGTGGATGCTTTGGAGAGGGTACAGAAAAGGTTTACCAGGATGTTGCCTGGTATAAGGGATTTTGGCTATGAAGAAAGGTTGACTAGACTGGGTTTGTTTTCACTGGAATGCAGGAGCTTGAAGGGCAACCTAATAGAAGTTTATTAGATTGTGAATGGCATGGGTAGATTGAAAGTAAGAGGCTTTTTTCCCCAGGGTGGAAAGGTCGATTACTCGGGGACACAGGTTCAAGGTGTGGGGTGAGGGGAAGTTCAAAAGAAGTATCCGAGGCAAGTTTTTCACACAGTGGGTGGTGAGTGCCTGAAACACGCTGCCAGAGGAGGTAGTGGAAGCAGAAACCATAGCAGCATTCAAGAAGCACCTGGTTGAATACATGAAAGGGGAGGGAATAGAGGGATACGGATCCAGTAAGTGAAGCAGTTTTAGTGTGGAAGGGCAGAATGTGTTGGCACAGGCTTGGAGGGCCAAAGGGCCTGTTCCTGTGCTGTGTTGTTTTTTTTTATGTGGGGTGAATCAAATTGCCCGAGGACTGGTATCTGTGATGCTGGGGACCACTGGAGGAGGCCAAGATGGATCATCATCTCAGCATTTCTGGCTGAAGACTGCTGTGAATGTTTCAGCAGTTACATCTGATTGTCCAGTTACATCCTGGCGGAAATGCAATGGGGAAGAAAATGGCTGCAACCACACGTGGAGTGCATGGAGTAAGTGTCCAGATCTGCGAGGGAAAGGATCGCAGAACCCAGTTATGTAAGGCCCTTTTTAAGGGAAGCAGACATAACACACAGACCCATGAATTGTACACAGCACAGAACTGCACAGTACCTAAACTCTGGCAGTCCTTTTGCACTGACTGCCCATATGCTGTAAACCTCCTTGCTTCAGATATCTCTCACTATTCTCCGAAATGGCACTTTAAAATCTTTTACATCCAACAGAGCCAACAGGTAATGCGTTATCTGAAACGTACCCATTCAGACTGGATAGTATTGAATTAACTGGCTGAATTACATGTTTTGGAATGGGACTTGAACTCCCCCGTTTTGACTGAGAAGTGAGTGTGCTAACCGGTGAGCCACAGTTTAAATGGATAAAGATAGTGGATTAATTCTTTCTGCGTGAAACAATGATCGTGAATCCTCACTTTCTATTTTAACAAAATATTTTTCTTCTAACTCGGCTTCCAGCTGAGTCTGTCTGTGTAAGATTGCTGTAAATTTGGCCTCCAGCTGTGTCTTTGATTCAGTCTGTGCATCTGTTGTGAGCAATTACTTTGCACTGAGATCTGCACCTGTCTTATTTTGGTACTGCTTCCTCTCTTGATGATGAGGACTGAAGCCAAGTCATGACCCTCTGAGCACTTCTGGCCTGCAGCCGTAGAAATCAGAGATGCGAATTGCAACTGATTAGTCTCCTGTCTCCACCAGTGGTATTGATATCTGGACCAAATTGTACTGCAGTCTCTGCAGACCCATTTCCGATCAGTAATGTAGAATGGACTGCAGTTCAGACCTCAGACCTACTTGGGACTGTATCAAATATTTAGCCCACTAAGGTTTCTTAGGAGGACCACAACCTGAAATTTCACCACTGATGAAATAAGACCATAAGGCATAGAAACTAAAGTAGGCCATTCAGTCCATCAAGTCTGCCCCAACGTTCAATGAGGTCATGGCTGATGCGGAAATCCTCAGTTCCACTTTTCTGCCTTTTCCCCATAGTTCTTGGTTCTCTTACTGTAGTGATTGGAACCAGGTTGATCTTGTTGACTATGAGTTCATTGATTGGGGTTGTTAACCTGGGCTAATCAGAAAGCCCTAGCTGACTAATATAACCAGGGGATTTAGAATCTCCTCTATTCAGGGACTGACTCTGAGCTGTAAGTAGATAAAGGGTGACTTGGTGATGGGTTACCAGCCTCTGTGCAGTTATTTCACTTACCGATTAAAATCCAATGATCTCAGTCTGAATATACTTAACCCAGTCTCAATAGCCCTGAGGAAGAATTCCACAGGTTCACTATCTTCTGAGGGAAAATATTCCCCCTCATTTTGTCTTAAATGCGTGACCCCTTATTCTGAGATTATGCCCTCTGATCCTAATCCCTCCCACAAGGGGAACCAACCTTTCCACATCTACCCTGTCAAGTCCCATAAGAATCCTGTATGTTTCTCCAAGGCCACCTCTCGTGTTCCTAAATTCCAATGAATACAGGCCCAACCCATTCAAACTCTCCTCATAGGACAGTCCCTTCATATTCGGTATTAACCAAGTGAACTTTCCATGCACTGCTTCCAATTCCAGAATATCTTTTCTTGGATAAGGGACCAAAAGCTGTTCTCTATATTCCAGCCGTGATCTGATTAGTACCTCGTCACAAATATTCACAGAAGAGGAAGTGGCCATTTGTCCCTAATAGGTCCACTTCCAACCCTCCACCATCTAACCCCACCAACATACCCTTTTAGTCCTATCTCCTTCATGTCTTTGTCGTGCTTACCCTTAAATACATCGATGCTATTTGCCTCAACTACTCCTGATAAAAAGTGAGTTCCATGTTCAGACCTGTCACTGGTTAAACTAGTTTCACCTGAATTCCCAGCTGGAAACCTTTATAGCCTTTTCTTTGATATTAGAGATAACAAGGTGTAGAGCTGGATGAACACAGCAGGCCAAGCAGCATCAGAGGAGCAGGAAAGCTGACGTTTCGGTTGAAAACGTGGGTTCCTTATGTTAACATTAAAACACATGGTTCCAAAACGGATCAGCTGAAGATGAAAGGTTTCCATGTGTACAAGATACTGAAAGGCTTCCAATATTGGAAGGGGAGATTGTTCAGGGCCAAGAGAAAGGGGCAGGGTAGTGGAATTAATTTGATAGCTCTTTCAAAGAACTGGCAATGGTACAATAGACTGACTGGCTTCCTTCTGTGCTCCATTATTTTGTACAAGCTGCAGAAAGCCCTTGACCTTTTGTAAGATTGTGAGGCCATTATGATTTCACATTTTATTCTGCCACAGCACAATTGTTGCAATTACCTTATCTGTATGGATGATTTCTCTTTTGGGCAGTTCTTGCAATTTATGCAGAATCGCTGGAGACTAGACGAGCTGTAATCTGTATATGGGATTTGCAGGGGATATGTTGCTGCATCTTGTTGCTTTTTTTGTGAATTCCTTGTCCTTCAAAAGTGCACGGTTAAAGTAAAAATGTATCAAAACGTTTCCTATTTGATGGGTTTTGGTGTGACAATTTCTGCTATGAGGCCTGATTTGTGTTCCCACCTACAGGGTGAAGACAGCTCCCATTCCAGTGGTAGTCCTTCCAAAGGATTCTTCTCCCGGAATTTTTACAACCGACCCTCCAGCCCCGTTTCTGCTCCAGTGAGGGTGAAGCAGAGCCCTGGTTCTCCAAAAACAGTATTCCCTTTTCCCCAAGACTCTTCGCCAAGGTCTCCCCGGCGAATGAGCTTCAGTGGGATCTTCCGCTCCACCTCGAAGGATTCCTCTGGCAGTTCCACCTCTACCTCGCCTGTCTCCATGAAGTTTTTCTCCAGATCAAGAAAAGGTGAGGGAATTGTTAACACTGGAGGTGCGGTGTGTGTAAAGAGGCTCTCTTTTTGTCCCTTTCTCTCTCTCCATCTGTATCTGTCTCTTTCTCTCTTTCTCTCTCTCTGTCTCTATCTTGTATCTCTCTCGCTGTTGCTTGCTCTCTCTCTCCTTTTGTCTCTCTTTCATTTTCTCTCACTCTCTCTCTCTAACGCACGTTGGAGCATTGGAGGCAGTACAATGAAGGTTCTGTTGACTGTGTCCCCTGGGACGAGAGGGTTGTCCTGTGATGAGGCTGAGTAGATTGGATCTATATTCTCCAGAATCTAGAAGAAAGGGAGGAGTAGATCTCATTGAATCCCCCAGGATTCTGTAAGGACTTGACAGGGTAAATACTGAGAGAATCAGAGCAAAATACTGTGGATACTGGATATCTGAAATAAAGACAGAAGGAGCTGTAAAACCTCAGCAGGTCTGGCAGGTTCTGTGGGGAGAGAAACAGAGTTAATATTCTGAGTCCCAAATGAGTCTTTTTTGGATCCCTCATAGATCCTAAGGGGTTGTTTCTGTTGAATGGGGAATCTAAAACACAGGAGTTCAGTCTCAGGATAGCAGATGAACATTTAGAACTAAGTTGAGAATAAATTACTTCACTCAAAAGAGTTGTGAACCTTTGGACTTCTCCACCCCAGAGAATGGTGGATGCTCCATCGTTGAATGTATTCAAGGCTGAGATTGGCAGATGTCCACAGAATCCAGGGATACGGGGAATGGGCAGTAAAGAAGATCAGCCATGGTCATTTTGAATGGCTGAACAGGTTTGGTGGGCCGAATGTTCTCATCCTGCTGCTATTTGTTATATTTGTATACAGCATAGAAGACCATTTGGCCTGCCATGCTGTGCTGGCTCTTCAATGGAAATAGCCAATTTATACCATTCCCTTTTCTCTAAAGTGTTGTAATTTTTTTGTTTCATGTTCCAATTGAGTCTGCTTCCACCAGTCCACCACACCTTGTATTCCAGGCCATAGCAACTCACTGCGTAGTTTATTTTTCTTCATTTCTGGCACCCTCCCTCCTCCCCCAACAACCCAGTTCTTTTGCCAATGATCCTTATCCTTTGGTTACAAACCCTCTTGCTAATTGAAACAATTATTCTTTATTTATTCTATCAAGCCCTGATATGATTTGAATGCATCTAATAATCTGCCATTCAAGTTCTCTGCTGAGTCAAAATCTCAGTTTTGCTACCATATCCATATTTGGTTGATGTGATCATTTGAAGGCACACTGTTGCGTTTTTCATAAGTTTGATAGTGAGAAGTTGGCCCGTTTGAAATGTGGCACACGTATCCTGCTGTTCCCATGGGGTTAAATTAAACATGAGTGCAACCGTTCCTTAAATGCATCATCCTTCAACTCATTTCAGGCAATTACATTGGATCAGTCACATGCGGATCTATTGTGCAATTCCCTCGATTTTCTGTTGAGTGTAAAGAGGAATTGCAGAATGCCTTTTAGAACACTGTTATAACCACTTGTCAAAACACACCGCACACCCTAATACACCCCCATTCATACACATGCAATACCATGTACATGAGGGAGGTGATGGTCTAGTGGTATTATCGGTAAACTATTAATCCAGACACGACCTGGGTTCAAATCCTACCACAGAAGATAATGAAATTTGAATTCAATTAAAAATCTGCAATCAGTAGTCTAATGGTGACCATGAATCCAATGTCCATTGGGAGAATCCTCTCTGGCTCACTAATGTCCTTACCTGGCCTGGCCAACAAATGATGCCAGACCCACAGCAAAGTGGCTGACATTTAACTGCCCTCTGGGCAATTTGGGATGGGTAATAAATTCTGGCATGGACAATGAAGTGAAAATCCCTTGGATGAATATGAAAAAAAATGCCACAGACACAAACACACTTCTCTATTTCCTCCGTGAACTCTCCCTACCAATGATTATGTGTATCCCTGAGGCAGAGGAAATTTCAATAATACTGCACTCTGTCCCCCAATCCCACTTGATCACTAAATTTGATTATCCAGTCTGGAACGCTCTACTTTGGGAATCCAATTTTACATTATGATTTGCATTGTGGTGTTTTGCCTGAGCCCATGCTTGATGGTGAGTATGAGTGAAATATGTGCAATATCACAATAAATGTAAAAGGCAAGTAATTGTATTTTCCTTTATTTAAGAAAAAGAGCAATGGGATGCACTTTTACTTGGGAATAAACATTGAATTTTTTTTAAGCAGCATGGAATGGAGCCAATTTGTGTAAGAACGTACTGGGCGTCATCTCTATCTCTTGTTTCCTGTCTGGAAAATTACAATGCAGTTTGCAGCAGAGCATTGTTGCAAAACCAAGAAACAGATCCCAGCACTGAGATAACAAGGTGTAGAGCTGGATGAACACAGCAGGCCAAGCAGCATCAGAGGAGCAGGAAAGCTGACGTTTCGGGTCTGGACCCTTCTTCAGAAATGGGGGAGGGGAAGGAGATTCTGAGATTGAAGAATTTCTATTCAAGTCGTGTTTAATATTCACACCAAAGCGCAGCTGATCTTTGAGTTGAATAGCTAATATCAGGTAAATTGTAAATAGCACATCTCTAGGAGTTTATCTCCAGCTACAGGAAGTGGGCAAGTCAGGCTATTCGGAGTCAGGATTTTCCCTATTATGGGCAAAAGAAAAATACCTCTATTGTTCCCACAGCATAATTATAAATTATAGCAGCTAGTTTTTGACAACAAAGACCTCCACAAGTCCACAAACGTTTGAATGTGCAGAGCAGTTGTTAGCACATTCCTATACTACAGTCAGACCTGAACTGTGTAACAATGACACAAAACAGCATCCCAGAAATTCCACCAGCAATGCCTCGCCTCATCCTCTTGAATCAGTGTGAGGAAGAGTGTTGAACAAATTATTGTGTCCTTCATGAAACCAATAATATAAACATTCAAGCAAAACTACAAACTCATCTATGACAGACTGAACACCATGTCTGGAATGACCGAAAAACATCATCCCTGGACTGACCTACCCCCACCCTAACTCCCCACCTATACTCACCTTTACTGGCTCCATCCCCGCCTCTTTGACCTGTCTGTCTCCTCTCCACCTATCTGCTCCTTTATCCATCTTCCATCCGCCTCCCCTTCTCTCTATTTATTTCAGAATCTCCTTCCCCTCCCCCATTTCTGAAGAAGGGTCCAGACCCGAAACGTCAGCTTTCCTACTCCTCTGATGCTGCTTGGCCTGCTGTGTTCATCCAGCTCTACACCTTGTTATCTCAGATTCTCCAGCATCTGCAGTTCCTACTATCTCAGAATTTCAGAGTGTTTTTGTAACACTATTGCTCATACACTGTCCAGGTCTCATTCCAGTGAAGGATTGTGCTGGCGTCAACTGGTCTATAACCCAGGACTTGCTGAGCTCCTTGTTGTCTTTATTGTAGTTTGCCCTAAGTTTGAGCTGGTGCAGTGTTGGGTCTCCTCATTGAAGGTGGTCTTTTGAGAGAGATGGTTACCAAGGTCTGGGAAATGCTCAGTATGATCCAAAGTCTCCTTACTTGAGAAAGGATGTATTAGCACTGGAGGGGGTGCAGAGGAAGTTCACCTATGCTGATTCCAGAGTTGAGAGGGATATCTTATGAGTATGAGCTGGGACTACACTCATTGGAATTTAGAATAATGAGGGGTGGATCTAATAGAAACATAAAAAATTATGAAGGGAATAGATAAGATAGAAGCAGGGAGGTTGTTGAAACAGGGCGGGTGAAACTAGAACAAGGGGGCATGGCCTGAAAACAAGGGGGGAGCAGATTTAGGACTGAGCTGAGGAGGAACTTTTTCGCCCAAAGGGTTGTGAATCTGTGGAATTCCATGCCCAGTGAAGCATTGAGGCTGTCTCATTTAAGGCAGAGATAGATAGATTTGTGAGCAGTAAAGGAATTAAAGGTTATGGTGAGCAGGTGGGTAAGTGGGAGCTGTGTTCATGAAAAAGATCGGCCATGATCTTATTGAATGGTGGAGCAGACTTGAGGGGCCGGATGGCCTACTCCTGCTCCTATTTCTTATGTTCTTATGTCTCCCCTTCAACATGTGAGAGAGGTGGCATGTAAATGTATCGGAGGTCTGAATCATCCATTACTGCTGGCAAGAATGTATTCGACTACATAGAACATAGAACATTACAGCACAGTACAGGCCCTTCAGCCCATGAAGTATCCTACTAAGATGAAAATACCCTGCACACCCTACGTTTTACTATCATCCATGTGCCTATCCAAGAGTCGCTTAAAAGTCTCTAACTACCTGCAATGTTAGCAGCTGATACTCTCCAGGATAACCCTGTGGTAGAATCCACAGCTGAACCACAATCGATAGGACATTAACAAGCAGTTGAATCAGATTTTTTTAAAAACTGCCTGCAGCTGAAGTGGGACAGTACTGATGGCATTTCATCCTTCGAAGGGCGACACCATCCTATGGGTGACAGGCAGTCTGGTTTTCGACTTTTGTCTCTGGGCAAAGCTTTTGTGGATGGCGGCAGAATATTTCAGTTTATGTTTTGTGCCAGTGAGTGATTAAATACGATGTGAGGCAAAGATGAAAGCAAGTGGTTATTCAGGGTTGGAACCTGCAACTCCAAATTTCCAATCCTTCCCACCCACCAATCCTCCATTTACCAATGTATCTTTTCCCTCCTTCTCCAAAGTAGAAGAGGATGTGGGTTTGGCCAGACTCTCCTTTTGTGGATCCTGCCACACTCACATACAAACAGTATTAAAGAGACAGAGGTGCCGCTTGTACCAGTTGTTCTACATAATCATAGTGTCGTACAGCATGGAAACAGATCCTTCGGTCCAACTCGTCCATGCCAACCGGGTTTCCGAAACTAAACTAGTCCCATTTGCATGCATGTGGCCCGTATCCCTCTAAACCTTTCCTATTCATGTACTTGTCCAAATGTTTTTTTAAAAATTGTACCTGCA